TTTCCCTACTTCCAGTCATCAGGAACTTCACTTGGCTGCCATGATTTTTTTCAAATATTATGGACAGTGGCCGAGCAACTTCATTCGCCAGCTCCTTCAGGACCCGTGGATGGATTCATCAGGTCCCATGGACTTGTGCATGTTCAGGTTCTTAAGGTGGTCTCGAACCTGATCCTCTCCTACAGTGGGCCTAAGGTCTTCATTCTCACAGTCCCTGTGTTTGCCTTCCAAGACTTGGGTGGTGTGGTCTGAGCATTTGCTAGTGAAGACAGAGGCAAAGAAATCATGAAGAACCTCAGCCTTCTCCAAATCCAGGGAGCCAGTTCTCCTGATAGCTTCTGGAGAGGGCCCACACTGTCCCTAGTCTGTCTTTTATTTGCTATGTACCTATAGAAACCTTTCCTGTTATTTTTAATGTACCTTGCCAGATTTAATTCTGACTGGGCCTTAGCTTTCCTAAGCTGGTCCCTGAAGTCTTGCTAAAAGTTTCTGGAAGCTTTTCTCACTCCTCTTTTCCCACATAGTTTTGTGGATGAAATTCTTTTTGTGTATGGTTTCCTTCTCTTGTAAAGGTCTCCTTCTCTGCTGCCTTTCCTCTGTGCACCCCTACTGCTTCCTCACTCCTATTTCCTCTTTTCTGTGCTGCAGGATATCCAGATGGTTTCCTGCAAAAGCTTTGCATCCTTTGCACAAACTCCTTATACTAGAACACCATTTCCTTTTCTTACAAGAGTGAGCACTTGTCCTTCTTTCAGCTTTTTATTTCTGTGAAAGGATTTCTGACTGCCATTCCATGCAATTTCCAGTTAATCTGATTCTATTCAGTATGTCTGAATTTTCCAGCTGGCATTCATCCATTCAGATAATAGAAATAGTGATGCCTTTTTAACCATTATTTTATCATATATTCTTCCAGTCGGCTTTGTTTTGGAGATTCATTCAAGGCCAGATTGGACAGAGGCCTTGAGCATAGTCTAGTGTGAGGCGTCCCTTCCCATGGCAAGGGGGTTGGAACTAGATGATCTTAAGATCCTTTCCAACCCTAACTATTCTATGATTCTATCTTTAATAAATCAATAAATGGAAAAATCATGTTATCAGTATCTAAAATACAGTGTACCATACTTAAAATGTGTCTAATATATCATTTATCTCATTAATAACAAACAGAAGGTAGTGGCTATTTAGACTTTGTACAGCCATCAGTTTAAAATTCAGTGCAAATCAGTAGGAATTCAGAAACTTATTTTAATATAAAGTTCAGGTATATATTTAGAATATTCATCAATTGATAATGTTATTTTGGTAGCAGCTGCACAGGAACAGCATTCAGTTTACTGATGGATATGAAGTAAAGGAAGATATTGGAGTTGGGTCTTACTCTATCTGCAAGAGATGTATTCATAAAGCTTCAAACATGGAATATGCTGTAAAGGTAATTAGTTATAAAACACACTGCAGGGTATCACTAATTTATTTTCCATTAAGAACATAACAATAAGATTTATTTTTTTTATGGTAAAAGAAATTTCAGATGCAAATGTGAATTATACTAATCAATCAAATAGAATATTTGCTGAATATACTATTCACTAGATATATAGATTTTCATATAGAATTGCTGTGTGTTTTGTTATTTATATGCTGATTTAGGTGGTGGAAAGCAATCTTCAGTCTTCAAAATACCTATGTAAATATGGTAAAACTGTTGGGAGTTACATGACTGCTTCTAGAAGGAAATGTACTATGAAAAACTTATATGACTTCATAATTCTTTAAATGTGTAATTGATTACTTTTATTTAAGCATAGCTACATATAGTTTTTTTGCTTTCAAAGTAGATTCAGGTAGCTAGGAGTTCGTAGCAGTGCTAAAGTCTGGTATACTTTTGAGAATAAACTTCAACATTTTGTCTTTGCTTAGTAGTTTTTAACAAGGTTTCTAATGTTGTTTTAATGTTATTCTGTCAGGCTTTTTAAGACTACTTTGAAGGCATTAATTTCTTAATTGAAATTGGTGGAGGTCCCCGAAGTGGAATTACAAGTTTTTTGTCTTTCTGTTTAACACTGTAGGGCTGAATGGTTACTAGGAAAGCAGGAGTATGAATTAGCAGACTTTAGGAGGGGAGAGGAGAGAAAAAAAGGAAAAAAATATTTAAATCCCATGTCCTGAGGCAGTTCTCTTTGAGATGTCAATGGTTTACTATTTGAATATGTAAAATGGGAAGAAAAATTAAGTATGTGTTGCTATATCCTTGTATGGATTGTCTACTGGAAACCCTCCAATTTCAGTTTGGTAGTTACATACTTGCCTTTGTTTCTGACCAGGAACAGATTCTACTTCTGTACTTGCAATTCAAAGTAATTTCTTGAAACTGGAAGAACGTACTCGCATTGCTATTAATTCACTAAGCCATGCATTTATTGTGAACATTGTCTCACTTTTCTGTTGTCTCTGTGGCTTTTTTCCCCTCAAGGAATCATGAAAGAAGAATAAGGTGATCAGTGGCCAATGTGTTAGGATAGTACTGGTAGCAGTAAGGGCTTAAGGAGGTCAAGAGGAAGAAGAGAGTAAGACAGAGATGGAGAATACATTAGAGAAAATTCTACAGTTCGGAAGGAGAGGAAAGAAAAGAGTCAAGAATGCTTTTTAAGTAGGGCAAAATAATATTTTGCTTGTTTGCACTGGGAGAACTTCAGAGCCCGACAGCTAGTATCCAGAGGTTCAAATGAACTTTTATAATGGAATGCTAATCTGAGTTAACTCTCAGAACTTTTTCCTTTTTTATTTTTGGTTCCCTTACTCTCCTGCTTTGTCTTTTCCTGCACTAAATATTTCTTTGAGATAAACTTTTTTAAAGTCAGTTAATTAGCATCGTCAAACCAGTAACTCATGTCAAATTAGGAACTGAAGTCTTATCTCCTGAACAGCCTTGCATTATTTATCACAGCATGCAGTATTAGATCATATATCTTCCAAAACTGTTTTCAGCTGAGAACGTTTTTTGTTTTTCCTTTTTTTCCAACATTTTTTGCTTTGCTTTGCTGTTAACAATTTAACAAACTTTGTATTGGTTATAATCCATGCCCTTTACCAACAATAAATATGGTTTATCTGTTTATGCTAGGAAGCACATCAAAGTGTTACACTATATAATATTCACAAAAATAATTACGCCTATGTATCTACTTACTCTATAGATTATTGACAAGAGTAAAAGAGATCCAACAGAGGAGATTGAAATCCTACTGCGCTATGGACAGCATCCAAATATTATAACCCTAAAAGATGTAAGTAGTGTGTTAAAAGACATCCTTTAGTGTATTATAATTGCATATCACTTTCTAATTTGAGAAATTACTAACTACATTTTAGATTTATGTGCTTGGATTTCAGTATTTAAAAATAAAACAATGTCCTAATGCAATTTATTCAACAAAATCCAATTTTTCACTGAGATGTCTCATTGTCATCTTTTAAAGATGCTTTTATTTTGATACAACGTAATCCTAAACAGTCAAATAATTTATCTTTTGTAAATCCCAGCACAGAAATAATTCATCTAATGTTGGCTATATTTTTAAAGGAACAACAAAGTTTTTTTGATTGCTTATCTAACTGTGTATCTACTTCTATTTGGTTAAAAGCAATTTTAAAGTTATATAAAGTTATGTAACTGAGGACTCACTGTTAGCACAATACCCAAAGTAATTTTTATGGACAGTAACAAGTATTACTGTGTAGTGGACAAAATCTTCTCATGGTCATCAGTTTTCTTTACCTTTATCTGGTCTTTCTATGAAGATTGCTTAGATAATTTTTTTCTTTTATTATTTGCTCTGACCATGAAAACACTTTGAGCATAAAAAGCAAAGAATAATCTAAATTGGAAGAGGTTTTTCATAGTGAACAGTAAATTCTGATGATCTAACAGAAAAAGAAAATTGTCTTTCTCTCCTTGATTATGCATTAAAGAGGATTAAAAATTAAAAAGGCATATGCTTAATGACTGGCTTAGTCTACAGCAAAGTATTCTGGTCCCCAAAACTTAACCTCAAGCAAAACAGCTAACCATTTCCAGGAAGCTGAGCTCAGCTGAGGTGAGATTCTCAGACATTTTGAAGTCATAAATACTGCGGAGATGAGTACTCAAGAAATGTGCCTAAAGTTCTTCTCCTGTCTTCAGCTTACCAATATCATACAGTTTGTCCCTTTCTTGAGAGAGTAAGTCAGATATACAAGGGAGCCCACCATGGAGCATACCTTATTGCAAGCTAGATACCATTACAGTCCCACTTCCTGTTTGTTCTGCTTCACACAGTTGGACAGTAAAGCTACCTGAAAGCAACTGTGCTAACACAGAACTTGCCTCAGCATTTACTTTTAGTTCTGCATGCTAGGTTTACGTGTTACTTTAATTTGGAATAGAGGTTACCTTATTTAAGCAGGAAGACAAACATAACAACTGTGAGTACTTACCTGAACTTTAGCATTATGAATATTCTACACTGAGAACAGAGAAACCCAGGCAGCCTTGAAAAGTTGCCACACATGCTGAATTTTACTTTGTAATTAATTCTTCATCGTCAGTTATCTCCCAGCAGGAGCCCTCTTTCATTCACGCCTACAGTAATACACAAGTAGCAAAAGGAGACTACAAAATAAAAAAGCCTTAAGTCCACAGAGGAAGAAGGACAGTAGGCTGTCATTCTCACTTCTCCTTCAGATCAGTTTCCCAAGCAGGGTTTATGGAAGCATGCCCAGTGTAAGGAAAGAGGTATAGGATTCATATGCAATAGAAACTTGTATAATACTCACTACTGTAAGAATTTGACGTTGTTTGAAGTTTTCATTGTCCTAATATAGATGCATGGGGCGGATTGCTTGCATATCCCACAATACAGTGATGTGCTATTACAATTTCAGAGGAAAAAAGTACTTGGCCTTCAGGCCTCAAACTCATCAAGAGCACTGTGTATTATTATACAAATAATACCGCCTGTATTTCCCAGTTGATTTGACTCAATTTTTCATTCAATTGCATAACAAAATTTCCATGTTTCTATTTTGAAATACAACATTAAAATGTTTCGGCTTTCAAGTGGATGTCTTTGGAAATTACAATTTTGCAAGAAATACCTTCTTTTCCTGTATTCAGAAAATAAATGCAGTAATATTTGAATTCAGCTTAGGATGGAAATTTTCATTCTTGCTCCCTCTTTTTATGTAATTTAATTCTGAAGGTGTTTGGTTTGAAACAATGGACATTCAAAAACCCAAATTCTTCCTGCAGTGCATAGTCCTCTGGGGTTTTTCCTTCTGATTGTTATCAGTGGTCTTTTTCAGTTACACACTATATAAACAAAAGAAGGAGCTATATTGTGCTAAATCAGATGTCCTTCTTATCCAGTATCCTGCCTCTGACAGTGGCCATTAGTGGATGCCTAGGAAACAGTGTAAGAACGGAAGAAGCACAAAGCTTCCAACAAACCATTACCTAGAAACTTCCTGTGCCAGACCATTATATGTATTTCAGCTTTTTTTACCTATTAGTTACTGTTCTGTAGAAGAACTTTTGTCCTTTTTTTAAGTTATTTAAAGCATTGGCTGAAGAATCTTTTCAGAAACATTTTAGAAACCTGAATACAGTATCTTATCTCCCTGCCCAAGTGCTTATTTATGAGTTCAAAATGCCTAATATCTATGTGAAATCTTATTTCATTTTGCAAAAAAACATGTTTCTTTCTCCATAACGTTTTGTTGATATGCCTATATCTGTTCCTCACTATAGTTTCTTCCAGTTTGCCTGCTAGAGAACACATACTGATTGTTCTTTGGCGTGTCACTGGAGTTAATTTTAAAAACTAGCATCACATTTATGATCTCAGCATAATACTGTGCACCTCGCTGTGAAGAAAACTTCAGAAGTATCTATAAACTGCAAACAACTAAATTGATAATAACATTAGAGAAATCGGGGCAAGGGGAGTGGTTGATTTGGCATGGGTTTGGTGTTTGTTTGGAGTTTGTGTAGTTCTGGGTGTGGTTTGTTGGTTGATGGTTGGTTTGTTGTGGTTTTTTAGGCAGGCAGGTAGTACCAGCAAGGGGTAACAGATAAAACAACAACCAAGTGCAAATTTTGCTTGAATGCCTCCTGCAGTAATGAGATGCATGTGCCTTGTCAAATTTCCTCATGCTATACCTGGATTAGAGGGAACATGCCTATTAAAAAATCTAAAATGCCAGCTTAGTATCTACAGCTAGATGATTCTGCTTTTTTAATACTGTATAATATTTAAAGTCTTAATACAAACACATATAGATCATAAGTTATTTATACTTCATGGGGGGGGGAAATTGTTTTCAGATGAGAACATAGAAAAGCATCATGCCTTCCTCTCCTTAACATCATAAGCTTGTAAAGCCTGTAGAATTATTTCTTTAATACTCTTCTTCTTTTTTATTTGGTGAGAAAATAAATATTTCTAAGCTTAGAACTTTAGAAGCCTATATTTCCCAGATAGCATAAGACATGGAAATTGGAATGAAAACTCTTTTTGGGTTTTTTCTTCATATATTTTTTGTAATTTAGCTGATATCTATTCCTAAATTTATTTTACTACAACTTGGATAATTGTTTCTACTTAAACTAACTAGATTTTGTTTCATATATATTATTGAAGAGAACAATTGCAACATCATCATAAAAAAAATAGGTTGACATAATAATAGGGAACAGAGTCTGTAAAAGGTTTCACTAAAGCAGGAACTACTTTCTGGATGAAGTTAAAACCCCAAGAAAGTGCAACTGAAATTAAGTGCTTAGGTATACCTCCAAACGTGTTTTGGTATAGTTCAGTCTGTAGTGCCCCCTGGTGATAATATAAATAATTCTCAATTGTTGTTTCCCTGGAAGATAAAAGCCTAGCAAATTAAGCCATTTTCCATAGCTAAGAGGGCTAAAATATACATATTTTATTAATTTTAGACTTTGTTATATGCTTTATGTGCAGAGTAATGTGTAAGTTGTAGGCTTTTTTTATAGCAACTTTGTATACATTAACTTCAGTGTCCATAGAGGCTATTTGAGGTGAACTTAGTATTTTGGGGTTTGGGTTCTTGTTTGTTGTTTTTTTTTGTCTGACTTTTCAGTTGAAATTCGCTCTGTTCATATTTGTAATTTTGTGCAATAGTTGCTCCCAGAATTAGCTCTGTTTTTTTCCTTAATTAAGCTAGTTTCCATTTATTACTACCTTTTAGTTTCTGCCATGTCTAGTTCAGTTTGGTTCAGTAAAACTGTGGGGAAATCTACATGTTATTCATCTGGGGGTTTTATTTCTTTAAACATTATATGCCAGTATTTTTGTTATTTCCTTACTGTACTATCTTTTTATAGAAGGTTGTGTGTTCATTTCTGAAGATGAACAATGTTTGGAAAGTATGTGGAGTGAGAAGTATGGGAAAGAATAATTGAAGGAAACAGCTTGTGGATGCAAGTGCACTATCTGTGTGCATTCCAGAAGAAGAGAGCAGAGAATAAATATTTTGAAGTGTAATCTTTATGTATTTTTTGCAGGTGTATGATGATGGAAAATACGTATATGTAGTAACAGAACTTATGAAAGGAGGAGAACTGCTGGATAAAATTCTTAGGCAAAAATTTTTCTCAGAACGAGAAGCTAGTGCTGTTCTGTTCACAATAACAAAAACAGTTCAATATCTCCATGCGCAAGGGGTAAGTTCTCATCTCAAACAAAATGCTTAGAGGTGTTAATATTCTTCTCTTTCAGAAGAATAAACTCATATCTTGATATGTTCTGAGTGGTAATTAAGTAATTTTTGGTAAGTAATTACACTGCAGCAGAAATTTTTGTTGAAATCAAAACATTCCTCATCATGTGAAGATCTCCAGATAATGGAGATGATGCAACTGTTTCTGTTGTCCTTCATGCAGTCTGTCAGCAGTTCTGTGGAATACGCATATAATAACTAATAGAGAGGATATGAGAGGAAGTTAGCCAGGAGGAAGTGTTAGGACCAGTGCTGTTGCTTAGCCATGGGACCTGATGTAATTCCAACCCCATCCTGTGGCACACCTTGAAAATTTATTTTCCATCTATCACATCTTGGAACAGATTATTTCTGCATGCTGGTAGGTGATTGAGTCTGCTAATCAAAAACATGATGCTAAAAAATAACTGAAACATCCTGTCTATTGGTTTGCTCTCCTCTTTGCTCTAAAATAAAGTTTCAAAGTATCAATATAATCTAAACAATCTGACATCTTTTCAAAATTTACCTGTGGGAAAACAGTACAGGAACATATTTTCTTCCATGACATGAACATTTTGATTGCTTAGGAATTAGTGTTTGAATTTGATCAAGACTGTACAACTGAACAAGTCAAGCAGACTAGTTCTAGAAACAGTCTGCCAGATCCCCAGCTCTGCTGCTTCTATTGCCTACTATACCTCTTCCTTTCTACCCTTTTTAGGATTTATTAAAAAAAATAAATTTAAAACCACCAACAGGAATAAAACTGGGAGGTTTTTTTTCTGCCTCTTGTAGCAGTAAAGGATTTCATTTATTTCCTTTATTTTATTTATTACTTAGAGAAAAAGAATTCTTATCTATCTAAATGCCAAAAAAAAAGAGGGCCATCAAGAGCCAGTTTTGTCATACACTGACATCTCAAGCGAGGATGTTTCCTTTAACATCTACCCAACTCAAATTCTTTAATATCACTTGTATATTTCAGTTTACAAGATGCTTATTTCCATAATTTTAAGTATTTATTTTGTTAAATCTGAGAATTGCAGAGTATTTGCATGCTGAAAAAGCTAAAGAGACTTACTGTGTTAAATGGCCTTACAATCCGCAGACCCTCTGCAGTCTTTTACTTCTTGATCTTAGATTGCTTACTTTTTTCAAACACTGCTAGCTTTCTGGAAGAGTGCATAGAGCTTCTGGTTCTGTACATCACTCGCTTGCAGAAGTTTTGGGGTATCTTCTTGTTCTAATGTGATTACCTTCTTGAAATATGTCACCACAATCTTTTGCATTCAAATGTAACCCCGCAAAAGCTGTTTTATTATTTATCAAATACATAGGACAATCAGGAAGATAAAGGCCTTCAAAGCAGGTCTATTTAAATATTTAAAAGAAGACATTTAGATCAACTCTGCTGCCTACAGTATTATACCCTTTTCTTTCCAGAGCAAAGAATATAGAGGCTTTAGGTTAATTTGTCTTGTGAAGAAAATGTAACAGGTCGTCTGATTTCAAAGACTGTCCTTGTGAATTCCAGGCTTTATGAAGGCTTGCTATAACACAGCTTCAAATAAGATCTTTGGCAGCTTCTACAGTTTTTGTCAAGCATTTCACATCTTAAGCCTCTACAAAATAACCACTTGGGAACCACTGTGGGATTTTTTTTTATTTTTTTTTGACATGCCAATTCATTAGGAAAATACCTATTTGCTATTTTGTTATTTTTTGCAAGAACTGCATTAAAATTCATCCTTAATTAGGCCTTAAATGTTTGCACTTAGATTAATTCAGACTATCTGAATGAAGAGAATGGAATACAGAGGGTTGCTTCAGCAGTAACTAGCGTGCTGTTATGTAGCAGAGCAGCTACAGACATCCATGACTCCAAAATATACTACTAGCCAAAGGTTCTGATTTAAAGAACCTCATAGGTATGCATGTTAAAATAAGAAATACGTATATTCACCCACTAGAACTAGAAATCTCGAATCGTGTGTAAACATAAATCAGGGGAGAGTGCAATGTCTGCATGGGGCTTTATAATTAGTTTCCAAGTTAGAACTGTAGTACTCGAGACACCACTGAGCATCTGAATACTGTAGGTGATATTAGAAGCTGAAAATCTGGAAAGTGATTGGTGATGGGACATTTGAAAATAGGTAGCAGAATTGAGAACTATAAAACCTTTTATATGTTTAGTTTATTGTATTTAGTGGTTTGTTTTATTTTTTTTTAGGTTGTTCACAGAGACCTGAAGCCTAGCAATATTCTTTATGTCGATGAATCTGGTAATCCAGAATCAATTCGAATTTGTGATTTTGGCTTTGCAAAACAACTACGAGCAGAAAATGGTCTTCTGATGACTCCATGTTACACAGCAAATTTTGTTGCACCAGAGGTAAATAGCAGGATAGCTTATATGCCTTGGTTTATTTTGAGGGGGTTTTTTTGCTAGTTAGATATTTGCACCATTCTTGTGCAACAAGTGAAATCACTCCTTAATAATTTGAAATGTCACTATTTGTGGTATAATCAAAGCATTTCTAAGCATTTTTTACTTCAGAAAAAAATACTTGTCTCCCTCAGGTTTTAAAGAGGCAAGGTTATGATGCTGCATGTGACATATGGAGCCTTGGAGTTCTGCTTTATACCATGCTGACTGGGTAAGGGTAATTTTAGTTTGCTTTGCTGTAGAATAGCAAATCAATATAAACAACAAGAATAATAAATGCAGGTACATTGTTGAAGATGTTTCTATCAAGGCAGAGGTAGCATATGCTTTGTCTCTAGTAGAAGCCACGTTTGCAGGGAACAATGTGAAAAATTCTTGGCTTCTCTTGTCTCATCTATTTTAGGGGTTTAATTTCTGCTTTATGGTGATTTAGGAGTAAGAACTGATTGTTTCATATGAAAATTAGCTGATTAAGCAGCATATATGTTGAAGGAAACATGTTGCAAATATAATTTCAATGCATGGAAGCATGATTGCATGCAAGATTCAGCCACTGGATAGTTTGAAGTGAGGCACTTATGACATAATAACTGCAACAGAAGTGCGTTTATGTATGCAACAGAAATTAATTATATGATGAATAATAAATTCAAGTATAGTTCCACAAGTTCAAAAGATAGCTGCTATTGCACCTGCCAAATAGATTATCTTTTTATGATGGATTATTCAGATTGCCATTTTGGTTGAGAGTTAGTATCATCAGAGATATTTTGGCATTTTAAAATCAGTGACAAACATACTTGGTTTGAAACACCTGTCTTTTTGCTTGTGGATATTCTGGCAGCAGCAGCAAGAATGCTTATAGTAAAGCAAGTAAAATTGCTGCACCTTCCTTCCTCTAGTATCAAACTAGCATTTGTTCTTTTTCAGCCTCTTCATAGTGTCTTCATTTTTAATTTTATAACAGCTTGTTTTATTACTTTACTAAAATGTAAAGGCTTAAGGAATACTTTCTGTAATTCAGGAACTACCAATACTTAGACTGCTATAGGAAAAAATTTGGTTTTCATACCAGATATAGAGGGAATGCATGCACTAAGAACAGCTCTATAGTCAGTGCTATCCGTTTTCATATGTTAAGAAAGATTTCTTTACAGCTATTTGACTATCTTTTGACTATATTTATGTTGAACTCACTGAATATTATGATCAGATTTATAACAACTATAGAGGTCCAGGTTATGGAAGTTAACATTGAAACTGTTTGATTAAATAGCTACACTCCTTTTGCAAATGGTCCTGATGATACCCCAGAGGAGATTTTGGCCCGAATAGGTAGTGGAAAGTTCTCTCTCAGCGGTGGTTATTGGAATACTGTTTCAGAAACAGCTAAGGCAAGTATATTTGCTTTGTCCTTTCTGGTGTGAGAAGTGGGTTGCAGTGTAACATGTTGCTTATAATGTGTATGTTGTATCACGTATGATTGGGTAAAAATACTGATACTAGAAGTTTGTTTCCTGTTTATGATCCTTTCACATTTCAATAGTCCCTTGCATGTAGAAAAAAAAAAAAAGGTGCGCCTTATACTATAGCAGTTAACAACTGTCCTTAGAAATATAGTGTATTTTATCAGCATTTGCACAATCACCCATAATGAGAAATGTTGTAATTAAAATTCAAGTGGAAGCATAACATTCAAAAATCTAAATCAGGATAATGAAAATACTATGATGATTACCATGTGCTCCGCTGATTCAGGCTAGAAAAATAAATAGTTTTTAACATTTTTCTGTTGGGTCAGTTCTTCAGAGTTACCCAGAACAGTTTATCTCATACTTTTTCATTAGGATTGAGCAGCTTACTCTTTTAAGTAAGAACTTTTGGTCCTTAAGGATGTCATATCTACTTAAAAAAAAAAAAAAAAAAAGGAAAAAAACCAAGCAAAACCCCAGCAAAAACCAAAACCACACTCACCAACCAATGAAGTATTATATTTTCTTTTTACTACATTTGTATGAAGTAAAAATTTTAAACAACTTTTTTGAAGGGAGAGGAGGGGAGTACATTTTTAGCATTGAATTGTCTCTAAACTGAAGTGTGTAATATCCTTTATTCCCTATTTGTGAAGGAGCAGTAAAGTCCTAAAGTTTTTACAAAAAATCACTTATACATGTTGTGCTTTTCCTTGCTGCTTGATTTGTGATGTGCTTTCTAATGAACTGTTCTCGTAATTCAGCCATTTTTGCACAAATAGTGTCACTGGATTGGACAAATCAATCTATTAGAATAACATGTTTACACTAGTCTGGTAGCATCTGCTTTTTCTTCTTTCAGGGCCATTCTTTTCAGTTGTACTTGGGAGTCTAGAATGAACCAAAATCTTACCAGCTATGAAAAAAAATTTAAGATTCCTTTTTAATAGTATCTTTGTGGTCACATTCTTATTTGAATTACAAAAGTGTTTTATATGAAAATGTCCAGTATTGCTAATGTAATTGAAATTATCTTAGATACAGATTTAATCCACTGTGTTTCTCTACAACTAATTACTTAATGTAGAAATATTATTTATGCTTTACCCTTACTGACTGACATCTAAGGGCACCTATAAAATATTAGGCTGCTGTATAAATGTTTTCAACATCTTAAGTGTTGTATGCATTTCTCACTACCGTAATTTCAAAAGGATAAAATAGAAGTTGAAAAGGTGGTAGAAAATGATGTATCAAAACAAAAGTGTGTATCACCAAATGCTGAGAGCCATTTCCATGTAAAGAGAGAAAATAGAATATGGTGTTTCATCTCAGCAGAGCTGAGTGGCATGACCGACAAACAAGATCTTACATATATGGTCAGCAGGA